GTCGTACTCCTTCTTCAAGAGAACTCTTAATAGACTGCTCAAGACTAAACTTCAAGAAAGGTTTGGCATTCAAGGAATACCAGACGGGGAGTGTTCTGTCTTATCCAGACTTTTTACATTGAGTTAGTGTTAATCTGGTATTTAGCGACCTCTTTTGGTTATACACGGGTATTACATTTTATATTATAGTCCTTATTTCATGACATCATAAATGTGAGCCTATGCATTCAGAAGCCGCATGGAAGAGCACACGGCTGTAGTTTCATTTGCTCCCTTATACAAGTTGTACTGAAGGCACATTCGGTATGTAGACATTATTTTATCATAATTTGACTTATATTTGTTTATGTTTACGCTATAAGCATTTTATTATGCATGCAAGATGTTTATTGTGTTCTTTATTTTGGTCAATTGCAATATGTGACTACATATATGATTCAGCTAAGTGCGTAAACAGTGACCTATTGTGCATAGAGCGCAGATTATGCTTGTTTAATTACATATTATTGATCCAGCGTACTTACCATTCTGTATTTTGTATGTTTTGCAGTTTTACGTTATTCCATAATCTACAGTAAAAGGTTCAAACTTATGCCTTGAGTCTGTTGTGATTGGAAGACGTTATCTCTCTGTCGAATCAAGCAAGGCGTTTGATATAAGGGGCAGAACAACAGTATACATGAATAATGATGTATTAATATGTAAACTAAACATTACTTTATTATGAATTAATGATGAGTCAAGGTATGCACTAATTATGAATTAACTTTAACTACAACATGATTCACATGAGTTCATGTGTGAATAATGGCTAAATTAATTACTTGTTAGTTCATGATTGTTTGTTAATGTATTAATTACCACATTAGTTTATGCTTAATTTAACCATGATGAACTCATGATATGTTAATGTATAATTATGTTGTGACTTTACTTGGAGGGCAGATCATCATTAACCGATTCTTAACTACTTATGAACTCCTCATGCACGTCCAACTAGTGAGTTTACACTGAATAACAATAGAAAAGTGTTCTGTCAACATCAACATGAACAGGAGTTCATAAGTAGTTAAGGATGAGTTAATAGTGATGTGCCCCTCCAAGTAAAGTCATGACATAACTATACATTAACAGCTCATGAGTTCATGTTGCTTACATTTAGCCTAAACTTAAATTTTAATTAATACATTAATTAACAACATGTACTAACAAGTAATTAAGGTAGTCGTTATTCACACATGAACTTATGTGACTCGTGTTGTACTTAAAGTTAATTCATGATTAGTGCATACCTTAACTCATCATTAATTCATAACAAAGTAATGTTTAGTTTACATATTAATACATCATTATTCATGTACTGTTATTGTAAAGTGTTACCGAATTTAAATATAGCTTCTTACCTATAAAGCTCTAAATAATCTAGCTCCTGTTTATCTAACCAACCTTCTGTCTAATCAATCCAACCCGCTCTTTAAGATCTAAAAACTCAGGGCTTCTGGTAGTACCTAGAATAGCAAAGTCGAGTAAAAGAGGTTCAGCCTTCTCATTCATGGCTTCAAAACTCAGGAAAAGACTTCCAGATAACGTTTGTGGCTCAGACACACTCTCACAGTTCAAAACAAGATTTAAAACCTATCTTTTTAGTAAAGCATACACTCAATGCATCACTGTTTGATACATAGCGGTTTGATACATGAATGTGCCCCATGCAGGTTTCTGCAGTTTGTTTATATACACTATGAACAGCAGCTACGCTAATTATTCTCTTTACTCTCTATTACCACCTGGGGATACTCATCCCGAGACCCTCAGACCACGCAGCACCACTAATTCAAAGACCAGTGACGAGATGATCCCAAGGTTTCCTTATCCTGGACCAGGCCATATCCTGAGCAACTACTGTGGTGGTCATAGAGGAGTGGAGAGCATGAGATTCCTGTTTCTCCAGGGACTGACGAGTCTTCGCTGAGGTCCAGTTTCCTGCCTCCGGCTCCTTGACTGCAGCTGCACAAGACATTTGGCCAGAGGAGAAATGGTCATGCCCATCTGAGCCTGGTTTCTCTCAAGGTTTTTTTTTCTTCACTTTCGTCAATTGGTGAAGTTTTTTCCTCGCCGCTGTCGCCAGTAGCTTGCATGTTTCGGGATCTGTAGAGCTGCGCATCGATGGATTGCTCTTCAGTGTTTGGACTCTCAGTAGTGATTATTAACCACAGTGAACTGAGCTAAAGTGAACTGAACTTAAACTCTTAAAACTGAACTGCTCTGTTTCAGTTTACTATGATCTTTTATGTGAAGCTGCTTTGACAAAATCTACATTGTAAAAGTGCCATACAAATAAAGGTAATTTGAATTGTATTTTAGTACATAATGTAACTACAGAAGAAGAGTCAAGCTCTAAATTGGAAAACTACAGAAAATATTTAGTCATTTTTAAGTGAGATGCTAATGGTCTAATCTGATTGAATGATCTAAGTCAGGGATGCCCAATTCTGCTCCTGGAGATCTACTTTCCTGCAAAATTCAGCTTCAACCCTGATCAAACACAACTAAACCAACTAAGTAGGAACTGAAGGAATACTTGGTAAACTGTTAGACCTTTCCTAGTCCTCCCACGTAAAACATGAATCAGAGGCTTTAAATAAGTTTCAGCAATTCTCTTCAAATCAGGCCCGCAAACAGGTTTATCCAGCTCGCAAGATGATTCTGTAAAGTATAAAAACGAGATGCAATTTTTCAATAAAAGAAGCTGCTGTTCCAGATGTGTCCACTGGATGGCGCAACTTCAAATAATTAATTTCATCTGATAGAGCCAACATTATGAAGCTGCAGGCCCGGAGACCCAATCGCACGCTCAGACCTGCTTGCTCAGACCAGCACTTCCAGACCTATCGTTTTCTCAGACAGTGCCACCTGCTGTTGGTAAAATTGCCTAACCTGAATTCAACGATTTATAAATTGTAAATTACACTGTTTTTCTACTATAAAATATTACACTATGATTGAATACATTATTATATAAAATATTAAACATACTAGATTATGATTTAATGCATTAAGTCTGTTGTATTTTAATTAACTGTATTTGTAAATAGATATTGTTCAGTTACTTAAATATTTTCAGTCATTTATTGTTTTTGTTGTTGTTTTTTGTTTTTAAATCATTAAGGATTTATCAAACTCTTTAGTATTGAGTTGAGGGAATGAACATTATCTCTTTATTCACATACAATAAATGATAGTACTCTGAGTAATTTTCTCACACCAAACTTTATTTTTTTATAAATTTTCATGAGGTCCTACAAGTCATTGAGCTGTAAAAAATGCAGAGAAAAATTGTGAAAAACATTACTTGGATTAATAATGTATTTATTGCGTATAAAATAAAATAAAATGCTTTACATTCTTGTTGGGGAGATTTTTCATTTCTCGAGCAATTCTTCTGTTAAATTCCTCAACTTCACTAAAAAAAATAAATGCTGTTGTCAGAAATTGTGTTTAAAATAAAAACTTAACAGCTTTTATACAAAAAAATGTAAACATACCTTCCGTGATAAATGGGGCCCTGGAGGAAGACATCTTCAGCCTCCTGCCAAGACAAGCCTTGTAACTCGGAAATGCCATGAGTTGGCATGGCCTGTACAAATATACAGATAAACCAATTAATAAAATAAAACACACACTGCAGAACATAAGCATGCTCATGTACATACATGTTTTGTGATTACCTCTGGGAGGAGACATCCACAAATGAACTCCACCTCATCATTGAAGGTCAGCTGTGTTTTGGTTTTATTAAGAATTCCTCTGATGTAGTCACAAATGATTGACTGGGACTGCTCATTCTTAATGTAGACAGGCACTTGAGAACGGGGTTTTAGTGGAAACCAATTTGACCTTTTCCCACCGAGTATATCCTTTGGGCCATAGAAGGAAATTATATTTCATATGTAAATGCACAAGCAATTAATTATATTTGGCAAATAATAGTTAAATTGTCACTTGACTATATTTAAGTCAACCATACTCAGAGTCTAGAGGAGTAATTTAAAGTGGAACCATCTATACCACCAAATGCTGCTCTGCTGATTTTGATGTGATAATCAAGTCCACTAATCTTTTGTCATTCCTTTCCCGATCTTGAACTGCTTGGACATGTGCTGGAAGATTGGATGTGGTTTTTCTTTTCACCCTAAAAAGGGGCAGAATCTTTCCATCCAAGACACTTCTTGCCTCCTCAGTCCAGAAAGCAAATCTGTGCCCATACTGTAGCTTTTAATAACAAGACAAGACAAAATCCATAATAACTGGTCACCGGTAAGAGAGATTTTAAGTATGTTTTGTTATTCATGTTACAAGTTGTTGTATTGACACAATATAAATTTTAAATTTTACAGATTTACAAGAAAAAAAAAAAAATACTGACATACCCATCAATTTGAAATTGTTCCATGAGTAGAAGGCACCACCACTGACGGATGATAGGCATGTCCATCTGAAAGAAAGACTGTTTAGTCTGACAGTTAACCAACATGTTTTTGTTAATACATGATGTTGGGTGTGCTTGCAATAACCATGCCCCTTTTTTTAAAAGATATGTTGCTTAGAAGAAAGCAAGATAATATACACTAAAATAGTTACATTTTAGCTATGATTAAGAAAAGCACCAACAAAATAAAGTTACATAAATAATAAAATATTACCTCCTGGAATTGAAACCCAATGCCACACACCATTGAGAGGGTGTACTGAAAAGAGAGAAGCCACAGTCATTTACAATGTTTACAAAATCTTTAAATTAATTAACTCAATTTATATCTTACCATGAGTACAAAAACACCACAATCATTCCCTCTTGTCTGACGTGGCAACGCCTAAAATAGGCAAAGCAAATCAATTTTATTTTAGAATAATGTACAAAAAGTTTAATTGTTGTAAAAGCCAAATAATATATATTTTTTTAAAGTTGATTCCTCACTGAAAAATCATATCCAGTCTTTTCAGTCCATGTCCCATGATCCACTTGGTAAGCAATTTTCCTGTAAACAAAACATATTAGTAGTAATACTAACAATTACAGCTCACCTCAACTCTAGAACACCATGCATATAAAAGGCTAGAAGAACATAGCCAGAAGTTCAAGAAACGGCTATAGAAACGTAGCCAAAAGTGACAGAACTATAATACACGGTTAGGAAATAAATAGAAATGGCTATAGGAACGTAGCCATATATCACATAAAGGCTGACCTAAGACCTGAAAATTGCCCTGTATTCCTCATCTCCAAATCCTGATTAATGCTCTGCGTACAGAGAGTCTAAAAACACCATCTCTCTTCGAATCGGCATCATTATCTACAATGTTAAAGGTGTAAAAATATTTCATTTGAACATTATTGCTTCTTCCAAGATTTTTCAGTGTTTTATTTTACACATTGCAATACCAATTAATGTATGCACTAGACATTTCAATATTTTCTTACACAGACAACAAAGTGGTCTGATCCATTGGCATTTGTCCATGCTGGAAAGGTTAACAGGTCTTTCAAGTCTGCATCTTCCTAGAATTGATCAGAACAGTTATGTCGTTTAATTTAGGTTGTACTTCTCACACAGTAAATACAGTACATACACGCACTGGTAATCCAGTAACAATGTTGTTAGGAGTTTCTTTCCACACAGGGACAACATAAAAGTCATCAATGTATATGTCCTTGCCCTACATGAATAAAAAGAAACTGTTGACAATGACATGAACATTTTCACACAGTTTAGAATTATTATTATTATTTTTTTTTTTTGGATCAAGTTAAAACAATGTATATAAATATTATGTTTTATAGTACATACAATTTGTCGAGCCATTTCACAAATAAGCTTTATGCAGGCGTTTCCAATCTGCAATAAATACTTTGATAAGTCAAGGTTTTTAATAAAAAAAAGTTATAATAAAAAAACAGACTGCTTACATGGGAGTCCATGTCCCTCAACAATCCAAGGCTCCAAAATTCTTCTCGAATAAGGCACACTTGCCCCTCCTTCACAATTATTTCACTGCCAGGGCAATTTCGGTCCAGCACATAATCAAGCTGTAATAATAATAACAATAAATATGTGTGTGTGTGTGTGCGTTTGTATGTAATGGTAATTGTTCACCAGTTTCTCTTGTAATAGATGCCAGTCCCTCTCCCAAGGCTTAGTAGGTTCCAAAAAATTCAGAAGAGTGGTAGGTTCACAAGCTGTTTTTTCTGTAATTGGTACTGATGACAGAGGAGATGTGACTGATGTTATGCCTGGTGATGCAGCGGTCGTTTGTAAAGTCACAATATTTTCTGGCAGTGCTGTCAGTGGTCCTTAGAGTACATTAAAGCATCAAAATTAGAAAATAACACATAATAATTAGAGAACAGAAACTTGACACCGAGCAACTGGAAAGAACAGTCAAATTACCAAGTGACATGTCCATGCATTTCTCTGTGGAGGATGGATTTTCTATAAATACAAATATACACATAAGTACAGTTATGGATATAGTGATGTATTTGTTACAAAGTAAGGGAAACATTACCTAACACAACCTGGCTGTGGTCATTCATGTGAATGTTTTTGTTGAATTCCTTTTTTATGTCATGAAGACGTTTCTCGTTTTTTCTGACATTGTAATGGTGGATGATGTTTCGCATTAGGAAAACATGTGTGGATGGCAATGCCATGTTCATAAAGTAGTTATTTTTCTTTAGCTTTGAAAAAAGCTGTTCTGCAGCCTGACTGTTAACTTTGCCAGCTAGTTGAGGCACAAGACGAAGCTTCCTCAGTGAATCACGAGGATCTTTTGTGTTGTCTTCGTGAAAGCGGTCATACAGAACATAGTGTTCTGCAGAACCAGTTATTGGATGACCATCCGGATCTGGACTTTGCTTTTTTGCAGTGAGCCATGGCAGAGTTACTTGTAATTTTCCTGATTTTGCTTTTGCAATATTTTCAGTGGTTGGTTCGAGTAACCTTCCCTCGAAAGGTGTGAAAGTTATGGGTTGCCTCAAATTTGTGTGGGTGGACAGTCCACGGGCAAAGTCATAAATAACAACATTAGGCAGATGCTTCCAAGACAGAAGCATATCTGCAAAATTCCGTGGACTTTCTGCTCGCAGATTACATTTTATACTGTAAACTATGCCACAAGGACACATGATGACAGCCCAACCTCCTGGAACAGACAAAAAAGATAAGCAAATAGTTAAGAAAACATAATCAAATCCCATTAATGACATTGGGACTTAAATGACCATAGGTTATGATGGAGGGCAGTGGCATTAACCTTAACAAAGTATACTTTTAAAAAATTTAAAGATGGAGTGCCTCAGAGATGTAAATACACTCCCCCACACGGAAAGCAACAATACACCCTGGTGTCAGACGAGGCCACCTCCAACACCCCCCAGAGCTGTACACCACCAGTCACTCCCCAATCAGTGCCAAGCAGAAAACAGGACCCATTATGTCTATGTGACTTTGTACATTTCTGATTTATTTGTAATATTTTAATGTGCAACATTGAGGTTTACCTGAAGCAGCCCAAATCTTTTCAAAAACCTTGTCATAGGCCTCCCTTGACCTCATCTCCTCCGAAAGTCACAGGAGTAGATCTGTGCGAGAGCCTTTGGCATCTAAACCACACTCTAGACACAGTCTTCTTATCACTCCCACCTATCACATAAAACACACATGTTAAATGAAATGCCAACACTGACAAATAATACATATAATTAGCATTAAATATTTTACTTTCTGTTTTGAAAGTTCATCCTTTAAGCGATCTTCAGAGACAGTTATTTCTGTTCGTTCTGCAGTTTTTGCTTTGTGCACTTTCTCAAATTCAGTGTTGAGAACAACATTCGCTATGCGAGTCTTACTCCCGATCCAGGGTGCCCAAAAGTTGTAACTAGGTGTAACACAAAATGGATTGTTTTTTTGACCTTTAGGACAAACAAACATGTTAGTACATTAGTGGATTTAGATTGTACTCCTGAAAACACTTATGAAATTAAATAATGATGACATGCCATTCCTGATATAATAAATTTATATTCGAGCAATTCGTTCTTCTGTCAGTGCCTTCCAAAACATATCTAAATCCACCTCTCCATTAAAATCTTGTGGAGGCTGTGAAAGATCACTCACTAAAGAAAATAAATACATACTATAAACTTACTAATAGTTTTACTAATAAGACTTACCTCTTTGCAGTAAAAAGGAAAGATATTTACCAGAGAGATGAAAGGATGCCTTCTTGTGGAGGTCCATTATGACCACAGGTGGATGGTCACCACAAGATACACATGAATACTCGTATTCATGGTCAGTTAGGGCCTCAAAATGCAGATAGCCGTGGAGAAGAGTAACTGCTGAGGGGAACTGTACACCTGTAGTTACCTCCAAGTACTCCACTACTCTGCTGACTGCTGTATGCACCTATGATAAAGAAATCACAGTTAATCAGTACTTATATAGGCAAGGCAAGGCAGGTTTATTTAAATAGCACATTTCATTCACAGTAGTAATTCAAAGTGCTTTACATAAACAAGAATAAAAGAGACAAGTATAAGAAAATAAAAACCAAGAATAAAAATGATTTAAAAAACAGTTAAAAACAGAAAACATAATAGTGCGAACTGTCGGACGTAGCACAGTGCTCATTCAGTAAAGACACAGCTAAACAGATGTGTTTTAAGTCTTGATTTGAATGTGCCTAATGTTGCCTAACATAAAATCAACACTATGAAGAAATCCTATTGTTGTAAAAAATAATATATTGTATAACATATAATATATGTATTGTATAACGATTACCTGCAACAGGTTTCTTATGGTGAGGCAGAGAGAGAGTTCAAGGAGGACATGGTCATTGAAGTTATGCAAACCATTAGCCCACTCTTGGTAATGGTACACCATTCCACAGAAAGGACAAAATTTTTAATGGGTTGAAATATCTGCAGATACAGAATGTAAAATAAATGGTTTAGTATCTTTTTCATACTTAAAATGAAATAAAATATGTAAGTAACAATTATCCACCTTGGACAATTCCTGTAGTTGTAAGAATTTTCGCTTTACGTGTAATGCAGACAGGATCACTGAGCAATGTGCGGTCTGAGCAGTGGTAGCCTAGAAATGCCAGAAGTGGTGGGCAGAGCCGTGTCAGTGGAGAGAGGCACATGTGTGGCAGGCAGAGCCGTGTCAGTGGAGAGAGGCACATGTGTGGCGGGCAGAGCCGTGTCAGTGGAGAGAGGCACATGTGTGGCGGGCAGAGCCGTGTCAGTGGATAGAGGCACATGTGTGGCGGGCAGAGCCGTGTCAGTGGATAGAGGCACATGTGTGGCAGGCAGAGCCGTGTCAGTGGAGAGAGGCACATGTGTGGCGGGCAGAGCCGTGTCAGTGGATAGAGGCACATGTGTGGCGGGCAGAGCCGTGGCAGTGGAGAGAGGCACATGTGTGGCGGGCAGAGCCGTGTCAGTGGATAGAGGCACATGTGTGGCGGGCAGAGCCTGTCAGTGGAGAGAGGCACATGTGTGGCGGGCAGAGCCGTGTCAGTGGAGAGAGGCACATGTGTGGCGGGCAGAGCCGTGTCAGTGAAGAGAGGCACATGTGTGGCGGGCAGAGCCGTGTCAGTGGAGAGAGGCACATGTGTGGCGGGCAGAGACGTGGCAGTGGAGAGAGGCACATGTGTGGCGGGCAGAGCCGTGGCAGTGGAGAGAGGCACATGTGTGGCGGGCAGAGCCGTGGCAGTGGAGAGAGGCACATGTGTGGCGGGCAGAGCCGTGGCAAAAGTTGTGGTTGTTGTTTTTGTTTGCAGAGTCCTAAATGTTTAACAAAATCAGGTTTTCTTAAAATGGTTGATTTGCAGAAGAGGCAGTGATAATGTGGCTGACTTCTGCAGAGGCGTCCACATCTGTGTATTATAAATTTAAAAAAAAAAGCAGTATAAGATTGCACTTTAAGTTTTCTTACAATTTTTCACTATAATAAGATGTACATTTTCAAATATTACCTTCATGCTGGACTGATCTATTAAAATGTGCCTGCAGATGTGATTGCACTTTTTTTAATCGTGTTGGTTGGAAAACCGAGGCGTCACAAAATGGACAAATGGAAAATATGTGCAGCATTTGGTGCACTGTACAGGTACTGGCAGAGACCCCCCTTTTTGAATTGTAATATCCATCTAGGAAAAAAATACACAAGTCACAAGCAAATTATATTTGTTTTAACCTAAGAGAGCTCACATTGTAAATGTTATGCAGATTAATTGATATTTTGATTTCCAGAGATCTTATTTACAATTGTTAAACTGTTATTGTGTTACTGTTATTGTCTGTACCACTTTCAGATAGATAATACAGTAATACGTTCAGTAGACCTACATAGCACTTTAATATGTTACAATTAATAATTGCTTTATATACACAATACACTTTATTTTAACATTTTTACTTTAAAGTTTTTTATTTTGCCAGAAATCATTGCTAGAAAAGTGTCCCAGAATGGTACAATAACAGAAAATAAGAGCACGCTGTAAATATCATAAAATAATGCTATCTTTTGACTAATTCAAATCAAACACTGAAATATTGTTTGTTAGTGTAATAAGATGTCACGTTGATTTTTGCCATAAAACCTGCTAATTTCAAGAATCGCTTTAATAAAATGAATAACCTTACTCACTAGTCCGATGTTGCTACTTCCTAGAAAGTGCTGGTCTGAGCGTGGGTCTCGATACCTGCCGCTTCACCCAACCCAACAGCAGGTGGCACTGTCTGAGAAAATGATAGGTCTGGAAGTGCTGGTCTGAGCGTGCAGGTCTGAGTGTGCGGTTGGGTCTCCGGGCCTGCAGCCTCACCCTACTCGATAGAGCAGGGATTCTCAACCTGTGAGCCGCAGCCCACTAGTGGGCCTCAGCGATCCTACAGGTGGGCCACGAGATACAATATAATACTATATAATAATATAATAATCAATATAATACTATAATTTTTGGATTTCATTATTAATATGCCATATAAAATTGACGAAGTAATGCACTTTCTCCTGTTCTGTGATCGATTACTTCAAACTGGGCACAAAAACAGCCTCATGATCAGCCTGCAAGAGAGTGAGTTTGAGCCCCTCCCGTCAGTGATTGTTCCTGTAAACGAGCACACTCTGGAAGAAGAGATGTAAAATTCCGTTGATAACAAGTACTGAGGAGTTAACTTCTTGGTTATCAGTCACACAAAGTCACAGCTGTTATAGGTCAAAATTATATGAGGTTAAGCACATAAGGTTAAATGAAGATAAACACATCAGCAAAAATCATTCATTCATTTTCTTTTTGGCTTAGTCCCTTCATTACTCTGGGGTTGCCACAGCGGAATGAACCGCCAACTTATCCAGCATATGTTTTATGCAGAGGATGCCCTTCCAGATGCAACCCATCACTGGGAAACACTCATATACTTCCATTCACCCACATACAATACGGCCAATCTAGCTTACCCAATTCACCTATACCACATGTCTTTGGACTTTTGGGGAAAACCAGAGCACCCGGAGGAAACCCACGCGAACACGGGAGAACATGCAGACACATCAGCATAAGTTCATGTATTTAGTTATAAACAGAATTAAACTATTAATGCAAGGATTAGTCTATTAATGCATAGGATGAAGTTAAAACGGATAAAGTTAACTACACTCAGGAGGAAGGTAGATCTCCAGGAACAGGACTAGGCACCCCTGATCTAAACTAAGCTAAGCTAAAAGTGTTCCCACCAGACCATGTATATAATGATTTATAAAGGAATTTTGATGCTTTATTTTGTTATTTTATTTTCATTTACTAGTAGCAGGTTATTTAGGGCTGTATTTTTGACCATTCACATTCATTTACACACCTTGGTGACAGTGTCAAAATGGCTACTACAAAAAAAACAAAAAAAAAACATAGCAATCCCATTGTCTAGCAGTGACGGCATACATGGCTGAAGGGACAGCGTGACATTTGATCAAATACTGTATAAATGCACATATACTATATATGTGTACATTTTTGACAACTAATTTTGTAATCCTATTTTGGCACTTTACAAAAAGTGATTTTATATACATTTTAAAAATTAAGTTATATATTTACCAAGATATAAACACTTAATAATTAAACCTCATACTTGATCTGACCTGAACTTAGTAAAATATGTTTTAAAAGTAGGTAATGTAAAAAAAAAATATATATATATATGTATATATATTTAACACCTTTAACATTTAAAACTTGCTGACAAAAGGTCAAAGGATATTTTTGAAGGATTAAAAAAAGGTTTAAAGGATGATTTTTTTTCTTCTGAAAAGTGACATTGGACAGTGTTCAGGAAAATGACATGATAGGCCAGGGTAACTTAACCTCTAATTGATACTGATGTTCACAGTTGACTCTAAAAAGCCACAATGTACTGTACGTACTTTTTAACACACACGTAACCAAGCTGTTAATAATTCACTTACGAATGATTACTTAGTCAGCAAGAAATCACTATAAAAGATCTGATTCTCAGATGAGTTTTTCACAAACCACCAGCCATGAGAGCTGTTGTGCTTGCCCTGACTGTAGCCCTTGTGGGTAAGTTTCATTTTGAACTTAAGATACTTTATTGTTTCTTAAAGGATTTCTGTGTAAAAGGTTATTTTAAAACCTCCTAAAATTAATTAAACAATGAAAAATATTATAAAAGGATATTCTGTTTCTTTTCAGCGAGTCAACAGATGAATCTTGGTAAGTAAAGCCCTTTGACATTTTGGTGGTGTAACTTTACATTTATTGCATCCTTGCGGACTAAATTAAATACTCTACCCATTGCAGTTCCTGAATTTGCCCATGATAAAACCTATGTGTACAAGTATGAGGCTCTGCTTTTGGGAGGTCTTCCTCAAGAAGGTCTGGCCAGAGCAGGTATTAAAGTCAGCAGCAAGGTTCACCTAAGTGCCATGACAGAGAATACCTACCTGATGAAGGTAATGAACTGAGGAAATTGTAGGTCTTCCAAATTGAAGGAAAGCTTTTTTTAAATGCTAATATCCCCTTACAGCTTATGGATCCTCTACTCTACGAGTATGCTGGCACTTGGCCCAGAGATCCATTTGTTCCTGCCACTAAGCTCACCTCAGCACTGGCTGCTCAGCTTCAGATTCCCATCAAGTTTGAGTACGCTAATGGTGTGGTTGGCAAGGTTTTCGCCCCAGCAGGAGTCTCTCCTACAGTCATGAACTTGTACAGAGGTATCCTCAACATCCTTCAGCTCAACCTCAAGAAGACCCAGAACATCTACGAAATGCAAGAGGTGAGAAAATCTGGTTATTTTATTTATGATCAATTTCGATTTCGCAATCTTATCATTTGACTTGTTCTTAAAGGCTGGAGCTCAGGGAGTGTGCAGGACACACTATGTCATCAATGAGGATCCAAAAACCAACCACATTATTGTCACCAAGTCTAAGGACCTGAGCCACTGCCAAGAGAGAATCATGAAGGATGTTGGCTTGGCATACACTGAGAGGTGTGCTGAATGCACAAAGGTAATGAAGAATGGATAATGACCACTTGATAGAATTTAAAAAAAAAATAATTACCCACTATAAAAGTATAGAAAAAAAAATATAGAAGAGTCAACCTACCTTACCTTTCTCTCAACAGAGGGTCAAGAGTCTGATTGAAACTGCAACTTATAACTACATCATGAAACCAGCTGACAATGGTGCACTGATTGCTGAGGCAACAGTTGAGGAAGTGTATCAGTTCTCACCCTTCAATGAGATCCATGGTGCTGCAATGATGGAAGCAAAGTATGATTGAGCAATCATTGAGATTTCAGTTATAATTGTGTAACAATATTCTATACACAAGTCATTAACTTGAAAATGATGATAGTAATTAAAAAATACCCTTTTTTCAGACAAACCTTGGCTTTTGTTGAGATTGAGAAGACCCCTGTCGTTCCAATCAAAGCTGATTACATGCCCCGTGGATCCCTGCAGTACGAGTTTGCATCTGAGATTCTTCAGACCCCCCTTCAACTCATGAAGATCAAAGATGCACCAGCCCAGGTATAATTCACAGCAATAAATCATT